CTGTGTTACTGGACTGTAGATCTTCTACCACCAAATCCACAGGCAACCTCTTTTGGGAGGTATCCCACTGTAAGAAGCACCTAGCCCATTGCTCTTGCTGCTTTTGTGCCTTTGGGTTGTGCATTCCCTGTATTTGTGCCTTCCTTGTGTTTGTGCCTTGGCTATGGCACACTTCTAATTTTAGCACAGGCAGTTTTTATCTGACCTGCTCTGGCTTTGATAATCTCATTCTCTTTCAGACCCCGTTTACTTTGAGGCACAGGCCTGTGAAGGCATGTGCCGTTTCTCCGTGTTGCTTCATCATGAAGCTTTTCCAGGGCAGAAGCACCTTCTTGAGAGCAGTGGGGCCAGTACCTGCCTTGGGGGAAAACCTGATGGTGTAATTTTGACAGTGAGGCCTCCTTCCAAACTGACATCAGGTTAACAAAGACCTTTATTGTAAACACTTTCAGTTGGTATCCTACTAAATGCCAGTTACAATAGGGGTGAGATTACGTGCCTGCTTATAATACTGCTAGAGAGAGTTTACAGTCATAACCAAATTGCACAAAGCAGTTGCTGTGTGTTACAGGGAAACCAAAGGGTTCACGTACCACGTTTTAGGTAGAAAGCATATTCCAGTAGGTAAGAAGCAATGACATAGTGGCTGGGTGGGGGCAGGCTCTGGAAAGACTGTAACAGAACACGTCTGCTGAAAGCCCCAGAGGCTCAGCAGTTTGTGGGCTGGTAGGGCACAGCTAACAAAGGGTTTAAGAATGGAAGGGGTAAGGTCAGAGATGGATATAAGCATGGTGCCCAAGAAGTGCCTCCATCCCTCTGAGCTGTGGTGGGGAGTTTGGCATGGCGTTAGGCAGTCTGGATCCAGGAACTAGCTTGGAAGTGGGAGAAGGGTCTAGATGCAGCTGTCCAGGCGAAATGTGGGTTGTGGCAGTGGCAAAGTTGATTTTTTGCTTCATCTGTCTCTCTCTAGTCAGGAGAGAGAAGCTGCAACCTGCTCGATGAAGCTGGCCAAGTTGATGTCTCGCTCTGATAAGCCTCCACACTCATGGGTGCTCAAGGTGATGTGAACCTAAACCAGACAGACAGACCGACCAAGTGTTGCTGGCAGAAAGAGCAGGAACGGTTTCCCCCAGTGCTGCAGACAGTTTACATCTGATGAGGCAGGTAGCACTATTATACTTTCTCCAGACTTACTAGCAAAATTTCCAGGGGTGGGAGAGGTGGGCTGGCATTTTGCCTGGTTTTCTTCCTTTTGCAGCTTGTCCTGGCCACAAGCTGTCACTGCCACCCCTCCCTTGGTCACAGCAGCCAGCTTTGCCTGCTTTTCAACTCACTCTGTCTCCAGAAGATGTTCTCCTTGCTGCTGCTTCTGAAACTGATTTTAAAAAGCAGCTCTGGTGCCAGCCTACTGGTAGCTACTGGTACTGGTAGCTGGACAGAAATAAAAAAAAGGGGGAGGAAAGGGTCTGTAGGTGATAGCTGTAGGCTGGCTGTGATATGCCAAAGGAATAGCCTCTGAGGAAAGAGGTCCCACTGATCTTAAAAGCACTTGTTGCTGGGATTTTATGCCTTAGAAAAGGGATGTGTTCCCTGAAGAGCTCTGGTTACTCCCACCACCCGTCTTTCTTACCTTATTGTACACATTGAACCATTCAGGGTGGTGATCCAGTTTTTCTGCCTGTAGAGCCACTCTGGTCATGAAGCCAAAGGCCTGCCCAGTGGAGCAAGAAGAAAAGTTAGCTCTGAACCACTTACCCTGTGATACATTGTTTTTCACCTTATTGCTATTAATTTTACACCACGTGTTTTGAAGTAACACAACCAAATGCAAGGCCTGGGATGTTCTATATCTTTGGGGTTTTCTATGGGTTTTCCTCTTTTTGGGGAGCTTTTGCCAGACAAACCATGTGCTGGGTCAAGCACTTTGGTGTCTTGGGCAGGTTATCTTGCTCAGCTATTACATTTCAGGAGAAACACAGAGGGTTTTCTTGGTCTCCTGCGTTGTAAAACTCTATACCACCAATCCTCATACCAGGTTTTCTTTGGCTGAGCCTTGCAGATGGGACTCCCTGCTCTGCAAACCAGGTCTCCTGCATTGTAAAACTCTATACCACCAATCCTCATACCCGG